CACGACCATGATTATAACAACCACGACCATGATTATAACAACCACGACCATGATTATAACAACCACGACCATGGTTATCTCATATACTATAGGAATAGCCGTGTGTCTGTTCTGGGCAGCCGAAATGGCACAATTGTTTTTCATCAAATTTGGTGGAAAAATCACAAAAAATTCGTAAAGTGGAACAAACTTGGTCCCATGTCGATGGTTTCTTTAGGAAGGCATTAATTAACCATTTTATTTACGCTGGAAAGCGATGTTGCTGTACGCTGTCAGCTGGCCGGCGGTTGCGTGCTAGCCAAGCACGAGCGTTCGAACTTTCAAGCTTTGGTAAACTGTACCACCGGACTCGCCACCGGGCACGAAGAGCCCACAATCACTTGTTCTCTCTAGGGATTCTATATCCATTCTGTAGTACGGTGACCAGAATTGAACTCCATAATCCAAGTGAGGTCTCACAAGCGCAAGATATATTTTTAGGATGGCCTCGCTAGTCTTGTAACTACCACTCCTTTTTATGAACCCAAGTACAGTAGGCTCTCACCAACAACGTTTAATAGGTGCCTGAAAAACACCGTTATTAGCGAAAGCGTTTTTTGTGTGACATTAACATACATGTAAAAAGGGTTTATTGGTGCCGCCGCCACAAGAATTTCACCCATTTTTTCCCCTTGAAGCCCTCCTAACACTTTTTGTTAGCTGAAATAAAAAGAATTGCTATTCAATCATCAAAATAAAGAGTTTGAGTAATATAACACTTAGTTTGGGGGAGTTTTTGAGGTGCTTGGTGTGATGATTGTTCCATATCTGAGGGTCACTAACACTTGCACTGTCTTCATTCTACAAACTTACCATTTCACAAGAAAATGCTCTGTTATCACTAACAACCTGTTTCTATCGCCTTTATCATTCATAGCTCGCCTTGCATTTCCATCACTACCGAAATATTTTTAGCCAGCGCAATACTCTTCTTGGTCTCCTCTAAGTTCCTCTTAATATTTTGCACTGTAGACTCAGGATAGTTCAATTTCCTCACTTTAAAAGTTCCCAGTCATTCAGGTGGCAAATCACTCCCTCCACCACCTCCCTTAGCCCCCACAGGCAAAAATGCAGAAGCCATTATTGATCACCGACCCTAACAACCACTGGTTATAGTGGCGAAAATCCCACACGTGGGCGCAGCGCTGTATTCCACTGAGCGTGTGTGAGAGTGAGGCGGAGTGGACAACTACGTCATCATCATGGCGGCAAACAAACGCTATCATTGATGCACTCGGACGATTCCCGCGAAATTTTCGTTATTCAAGAGAATCCAGACGTTATTATCGAAAATGGGTATGTATTGTAACTTGCCGTTATTGTCGAAAACGTTATTGTGGAAGTCGTTATTGGCGAGAGCCTACTGTACTGTACTTGTTAGTCTTGTTTCGAGCAAATATACATTGTTGACTTGGTTTAAGATTCCTACTCAGAGAGTTAAGTCATTATACTCAATGGGTTAAGTCAAGCATGGCTAACCTTTCCTCAGTCATGGGACACAGTACGGTTTAGGTATTTTTCTGCTGGCCAACCCACCAAAAGTTATATCCTACCTAACCCAAAAGTAATGTTAATATTCAGGGGCAGATCCAGGACTGTCAAAAGAGAGGGGTCCAAGAAATTGTGGGTGGGGGGTACATGGCAAGCACAGCGAGCCCACCCAGCTGGGCTTTTCTGGGGGGGGGGGGGCCACTGTAAACCTCCCAGAAATTTTTTTGAAATCTGACCAATATCATGGGCACTTTGAAGCCATGTGCACTTGATATTTAAAGATATTCTGAGGTCAATAGTAATTACTTTTTACTATACAAAAACACCTGAGTAAAATACTGCATTTAAGAAAAAAGTATTGGAATTTTCTGATGAAAATGGGGAGTCCAGATCCCCGGAACCCCCTCAGGATCTGCCCCTGATATTGTACTGTATGGTACCTATGATAGCATGACATCATGACTCATATCCTTTTGATTTAAATGGTGACTCGCTTCTATACATCCACTTTGGGACTTGTTGTGAGAGTGAGGTGTTAGTTATTCATGGAATAGTCCCAGCCACTATTGATAAGGGTCTCTTAGGTCTCCCCAGTCCATACATGGGTCTTAGTTGCTGGCTGTAGCTCATAAAGTGATGCTTCATGGTCAAGCTTTCATATCAGACTATGGTGCTCAGTATCTTAATATTTCTTTTTGTGACACAAGTTCTTGAATAATAATAATAATAATAATATTTATTGAGTATAATTATCATACAAGTTTATACACTAGTTGGATTGGCATTTGTATAGACAATGCAAGTAAAGTATTGTATCCAGTTCAGCATGTATATAGACACTGCAGCAGTTCAGCATGTGTACAATGCAGGTACCGTATTTGCCGGTGTATAAGACTCATTTTTATTTATTTTTTATTGTTTCACAAATTACCCTGCGTCTAATGCGCCCGTATTACGGATGGGAGGCCGAGCGCCAAAGGCGGAGGTGACTAGCTAGGGAGTCTGGGACGAGCAGTAGTCCACTAAGCAAAAAAATTTTGTTACTAATAATAAGATACTGAAAAAACAAGCCAAATTATCACAATCTATTATAAAAAACTTGCGACAAATTTGCCGAAGATGTAAATAATGGCTTAACGGCAGAGGGAAGCTCACAACATCTCACTGTACCTCCTTCCCCAGCATATGTAACCCACACCAGATACATGTCTTACATTATTTAAAAACTGTATTACCTTTAAGAAACATATGTTCATTAAAAATTATCTAAATGAAAAATGCCCCTAGAAATATTAAAGAAATGTTAACAGAAAGTTCAGCTGCCAGTCAGCCATTTGCAATGAGTCGATGACACCAAAACAATAGCGATGGTGCTACACCCTGGTGGCCGATCGTGGCAACACAAAACATCACAGCTAAAAATACGAGTTTCACATCCAGTAGGTAATTCTCTTGACCAAAATATAAACAAGCCACACAGCTGCTCTGATCAGAGGTAGAGTTTGCTTAGTATAATGTTACTATATAGTGGTCCCTTGGTCAACGAGCGCCTCGGTTAACGAGATTTCGGTTAACGAGTTACCTCCCATAAGATTCTTAACTTCGGTTAACGAGCAATCCCTCAACATGTTTTCACTTGCATTTGGCGGTCCAGCTGTAGTATTAGTCCGCCAATACAGTAATCGGTTTTAGGGCTTAAATTCCTTACTATTTTAGTAAATATCAAGAAGTTATACTATTCAATAATTTTAAAAGTATAATATTAAAATTTTTAGTCATTTTAACAATTATTGAACTTAATTGAATTAAAGACACTAGTTTCATGCGTGCCATCCAGCCTGGCAACACACCAAACAGGCGCCAGTCTCTCTCTCTTTTCAGTGGAGGGAACCTCTTGCTTGAGACTCTTCAACTAAATGCTTTTTTCTGTGTTTGCATGCAAATTATTGGTCATTTTGAAATTTAATTTACATATTGACAATATATAATGCAGTGCAGCATTGATTTAAGGAAAATAATCTTGAATTAAACCAAGAGAACTAAAATTTTATGGGTGAAATGGCGCCATGGGGTGACTTCTCTTCCACCCCAATGCCTTTTCTTCTCCCTTCTCCTCCACCCCTATTCTAATTCTCATCATCATCATCATCCAGGAGCCTTCTACATACACACCTCAAAGTAAGTGTACTTTTCTACCTTTTTTTAATTTAGGCAATTTTCGGTGAGCTGGAACCAATTACCCAAAAATCCATTGAAACAGTGGTTTCGGTTAACGAGCAACCTTCTGGGACAGATTGTGCTCGTTAACCGAGGGACCACTGTGCAGTGCAGGTAGAGGTAATATTTACAGCCAAACTGTGGAATGCTCTGCCTTCTGTGTTTCCACACTCATACAATGTCTCAATTTAAAAAGCTGATTTTCCCGCATGTTCGTGGTGTAGATTAACGTACAGTACCGGTAATCTTTTTCTTTTCTATTTTTAGTTTCTTTTTACTCCTATTTTTTCGCCCCCAGGCCCCATTGTGGGTCGATGACCTCTGCCCGGGTGGGTTATTCCTCGTAAAAAAACAAAACAGTACAATAATTTGACCAAGGATAACCGAGAAAGCCATCAGAAGCTTGTTTCCAGTACAGGTTGACAATCCTTTATCCGAATTTCCGAAAACCGAAAAGCTCTGAAAACCGAAAGGTGTTTTGTGGAGCAAAACTTTTTTTTTTTTTTAACAGGGATTAGCCCACCAAGGCATAGATCACTGACCCACATTGGGGCCTGGGGGGCGAAAATGTAATAGTAATACAGCTTGTACTAATTATAATAATAATAATTATTCATAGTAAATAAAAATTTTAATAAAAATACACCAAAATTAAATAATAATGATAACAATAATAATTATAATAATAAAATTAATATTAATTATAATAATAATAATACTGTATTAATAAAATAATAATAATAAAGAAATACAAGAATGAAAAAAGATAAAAAGTGAGAAACACGACCTAGACCTATGAATTATTATTATTATTATTATTATTATTATTATTATTATTATTATTGTTGTTGTTATTATTATTATTATTATTATTATTATTATTATTATTATTATTATTATTATTATTATTATTATTATTATTATTATTATAATTATTATTATAATATTTTCGCCCTCCAGGCCCCAATGTGGGTCAGTGACTTGTGCCCTGGTGGGCTAATAAAAAAAAAAAAAAAAACTAACCATTCTGAAAACCGAAAAATTCAGAAATCCGAAATGCCTCTGGCCCCAAGGATTTCGGATAAGGGATTGTCAACCTGTACTAGATGGTCCTCTGAAGGAACAAGGCATTAGATATGATTGTTAATGAATAGACAGGATATATAGGTATAGTGTACTATGTGTACTGTATTTGTAATGCTGTGCCATAGATGTAACACAATCATTTAACGATAACTCATTCTATTTTCCAGTTGTTCTACCAAGTGCTGAACTTTGCTATGATAGTCTCCTCGGCTCTTATGATCTGGAAGGGACTGATGGTGGTCACGGGCAGTGAGAGTCCCATCGTGGTGGTGCTCAGGTACAGTTCTGTCTATTGTAGCTACTGTACTTTAGTGGATACAAATTTGATGTTTTCATAAACATCATAAATGCCACATAGAAGGTTGTTTGTTTAATTTATCTGTCAGAAAGATATGTTGAGAAATGTTTCACTTGTAGAAAAGTTTGTGCTACACTGTACTGTTCCTGTGCTGTAATTAATATACCTGTACTGTACAGTACTGTACTATCATTACCATTAGCCACATTTACCTGTATTGTACAGTAGTACTGTGTTTGTTTATTAATATGGGAGTCTGTATGCAGATTTTCTCGACATCCTTGGCAATGTTTCTACTGTTTTGACTTTTAAGAACATATTTACTGTAGTATTAAAATATACCTGTCTGCGGTACAGTACCAGGACACATATCTTGGTTACGAGTGTAGGAGAAACAATGAGGTGGTGATGGCTGTTGTTACATTCATGCATTTTTTATATGCAGTGACATTTTGTTAACAACAGTGGGAGTATGGAGCCAGCATTTCATCGGGGCGATCTCCTCTTCCTGACCAACTATGACCATGAGCCTATTCGTGCCGGGGAGATCGTGGTGTTCAAGGTTGAGGGGCGGGACATTCCCATTGTTCACCGCGTCATGAAGGTCCATGAGAAGTAGGTTGTCATCGCTTATACTGTACAGCTCACTTGCCCAAGCTTATTCACCGAGTGATTAAACTTTTATTTGATATTAGCTTTTGATTTTCTTACTTATTTAGTCTCTTAATGTGAATTCAGATATAGAATTACAACTAAAAATACATATACAGTATTGTGCTGTACTGTATAAGTACAGTATACAGGACAGTTATTTAATAACCATATTCCTTTTCCAGTTACTGTAATTGATATGAGAGTTAATGTTAATAATATATTACTGAAAATTCAGCCCAGACTTATTAAACTGATGAATAAACAAATTATCTTAGTCATTGAATACATTTTAATTTTCTTGTTGACTGTAAACAAATTAATGATTATTTCATATTGGAAGTTGGTAAAGGGTAAGCTTTGGGTACAGCCATCAATTGTTGCTGATGGTAATAAATGTTATATTTGCAGGGACGATGGAAGTGTCAAGTTCTTGACAAAGGGAGACAACAATAATGTTGATGACCGCGGCCTGTACGCAAATGGACAGGCTTGGCTGAATCGCAAAGATGTAGTCGGACGTGCGCGGGGATACGTCCCTTTCATCGGCATAGTTACGATCATTATGAATGACTATCCAAAATTCAAGGTAAGTTTTGACTTTACCAGAAAGTTTTACTTGGTAGGAAAACAATAATCAATAGTTTGTTTGAACAGAGACAAGGTGAAGGATGTGATGTGTGTGTCAGGCATCTGAGAAGGGTTGTGTAACATTGAATGATGAATGGAGGCACAAGTGTGTGAGTTAGTGTTGTACAGTACTTGAGATACTCACTTGGTATTGGTGTGAAGGTCATGTAGTTCTGGGCTGTCATGAGACGGACCATTCCTCCTTATATAAGTTTAATTATTTCTTTGTTTTAAAAGCTGTGAATAAGAGCAATGAGTTTTGTTTTTGTTGGAATAATTTTGCTGATAAGAACAAGGATTACGTAGAATGATTACTGTGTATACTGTACACGTGCATAATCCAACACCTGATTTTTGGGTAAAACAGCCTTATTTTTTCTTATACATAATGTATAAACTGACTTGAGCTTTTCAGAAGTGATATCCCCATTAGCTGGGAATGAGAGAATTCTGGGTAACGAGACGACTCTCAAACACGGAAAAAATCCCTCATCCCGAGGATTTTTCCTGGCACAGGTACTGGGAAATGTTTCATCCTGGGAATTTGCTCACAGACCTGGGTAAAAAAAATTTGAGAGAGTTTCTGGAGTTTTCCAGAATTACCCATTTTTTTATCCTCGTAATTTTCTCTCAGATCTGGAAAAAATATGAGAGTTACATGAATTTTCAGAAAATTTTCATTATTTTCATCCTCAGAATTTGCTCCCAGACCCGGGAAAAAATGGAGTGAGTGTCTGGATTTATCCTCGGAATTTTTCATTAAGTTCACCTGATTTTTAACCCTTGAAATTTGTTCCCAAACCTGGAGTTCAGAGAAATTTTCCAGAAAAACTCTGAGCAAATTTCAATTCCAGCTATTGGAGAGTTCCAGCTTAGAGAGGTTCCCTCTAATGGAGATGTTACTGTGTATAATCCTTGATATACATAAGAGTATACATAAGAGGAATAATATCCACAGCACTCAGGGCAGGTGAGGCTGAGCTGTGAGCTATGTTATTTTTCAACTTGTAATTTCGGTTAGATACTGTATACTGTACGTAATTTTCTTCGTTTTCTTTTACTCTTGCACGTACGCACACACACTCAATCATTCATACAGAATGTGCAAAAACATAATTATCATAAGATCAAACACATAATGGAAATACAGTCGTGTTGCATCTTATGCACATTTAGCTAACTCATATTAACTTTACGTGCTTGGCTTTGGGGAAAAAACGAGAAAAATATTATTGTAGAAGCGTACAGGTAGTTCTGCTATAACGCGATAATTGTGTTCTTGTAAAATATCGTGTTATAGAAAATCGCGTAATAGAAATAACAGGGCTTATGGAGAAAATAGGGTTAGGTGCAGATTACTCGAAATCGAAAAAATTTAGTAGTTAGCCTAACACAAAGAATAGCACAGTCTAAATAAATGTTACATTCATATCTAATAATGAAATCATAAGTAAATGTAACACTTTACCTTGAAAAAATATGAATGTAACTTGATGGGGGAGAAGGGTGATTTTGAGGTTGATAACATCGAGCTTCTCTTCAAGTGTTATATCCTTTCTTTTACGATCATCACCGGGAATTCTATCACCAGAACGCTTCTTGGAGATATTCTTCTTTACCATATTCACAATTAATACCACAAAATTGGAGAAATAGTAAGCAAAAATCGCGTTATAGCAAACAAGCATTCGCGTTATACAAATATCGTTCCTAATTCATAAATCGCGTTAGAGGAAATTCGCGTTATCAGAACACGCGTTATAGCAGAACTCACTGTATGGTTGGGGGAGATAACGGCATATGAGACACACACCCCATTTCAGCAGGGAGTACAGTATGTAGGAAAAAACTTGTGTGTGTATTTTCCTCCCGTAGCCGTAGTTATCTTAAAATAATATATACAGTACCAGTAAATGTGAGGAATAAATAAAAATATTACCCATAATGGGGGTTAGGTTCCAGAAAACTACCGTGATGGTAAAACCGCATATATTGAAAACTAGTTTTGTCCCATGACCCCAAAGATGCACCCCCTAACTGACCAAAATATACCCCCAAAAATGTGTAGGTACATTGAACGATATAATACTGTATAAGATTGTATTTATTAATGCCAACCAATAATCAATAAAAAATATCAGTGCTTATCACACTTATGGGCATGTCTTCTAAGCTCCTGCTTACTGGGTCTAGGTAGTCTAGTGTGGTGCTTGGCTTATTTACATAAGGCTAGAATCTACATCTACATCCATGTAGGTGGCGCCGTTGTCATCGTCTTGGGTGTCAGTCAGTCTCAAGGGATTGGAGATGGTGGTGAAGGTGGGTTGTATGGATCAGAGTCACTGTCATTTACTGTAGGAGTTGATGCCTGGGCATGAGTGATGTCTGATGGACCTGGTGTTGGTTATTGTTCTTCTTCCTGTTGTGGTGTTACAGGTAATGGCACTGGTGTTGGTGTGGCTGGTGATGGTCTTGGTGATGCAGAGAAGCTCCGAATGAAAGTCATGATCATAGCCTGCTTGGCTGTTGCGTGACATTCCCAATAAATTTGCTTGTAGGGTGCTATGTCTCTTGTTAAATTTGAAGTTAAAGTTTCTCTTCTCTTGAAACTGGAGTCGGCTTCATTTATGAGATCAACTAACTGTTGGTGAAGGGCCAGTATTTTTGCAAGGTTTAATATGCTTAATGTAGAGCTGGGTTCAACACATTCCTCATCTTCCTCTTCTAATCCAGGATCATTCAGTGACTCGCCTATTTACTGAAGAACATCACTGTCAGGAAATTCTTGTTCAGCAGCTTCCACAAAGTTAATGAGGTCAGCAGATTGTAGGTCTTCAAAACCCTCTTCAAGTTGTGCTCATGTCGTATTCAGGACCCAAGTCAAAAGTGATCCTGCTAAAACCCAACAAAGTCAGTGCTGTCAGGTAACAGCTTGCACCAACCATTCAAGAGACATGTATCACCGACTGCAGCCCAGGCCTTGTCAATAAACCGAACACTATGTAGAACGTTGAATTTATTCATCCGGTACAGTATGCCCCCCCAAGTGTAAGGGCGGTAATGAGCGGGATGGTTGTCCGCCGCTTGTTTGCTTGTTCGCGGCCCCACTAGGGGGGGTAGACGGAGGTGAGAAGGTCGCTGCTGCATCGTCACACATCAGACACTACCCAGCCAGCACCACAGCTGCACTTCCCTCACTGTTCGTTACAATTCTGTGTGCTCATCTGAGGCTCCTGGGGCTCGTGGGCTGATTCCCTAGTCCTTCACTATTTGGCTGTCAATCTCCGGACACCTACTCCAGCTACTACCGCGGCTGCCACGTCATCGCCACTTCCTCCATGCCCTGGCGTCTCTCTTGTGTGGCAAGACATCGTCCACCAACGCCAAGTGAGGAAGCTGCCCTGGACCTTCTCCCTGAGAGCAGACCACCGCGTTAACAGAACATTCTAACGGGCTGCAGCCGTAGGAAATATCTGTACTTTGTTTGACTCCCATAATTGTTTGACTCCTGTAATTGTTTGACTCCCGTAATTGTTTGACTCCCGTAATTGTTTGACTCCCGTAATTGTTTGACTCCCGTAATTGTTTGACTCCCATAATTGTTTATTTGATATTTGTATGAGTGGTGTCAATTATTGTGATTATTTTCGTAGTAAAGAGATGTCAATCTCTAACGGTTGTTTGTTACCCCTTGGAAACCCATGGTTCTTGACTTTCCTTTTATAAGATCCTGATTAGGCTGGCAAGGGATTTATATCCCTAAGTCCAAGCCTTTACACCAAGTTCGCAGAGTTTTTACTTCACGGTTCTCGGTTATTTGTGGATGACACCCTGGATGTACCCAAGAATATCTGTGGGTAGTTTTAAAGTTGCCGGCATTTTTGGGGCTGGGACAGGGAGCCATTCGTTCTAAAGACAGTAATTTCCTTTACCTGTAATGTAAATATGTATGTGTGTGTGTGTGTGTGTAGACACACATACAAATAAATAATACTGTAATTGGAAAAGCCTCTCACAAATAATCAAACAAATTTATTAAAAATGTGACAGTCTGCCCTCAAGTCCGTACTCTATTACAGTACAGTAAGGCCTCGAATAACGACGGTAATGTGTCCTCCAATATTGCAGTGTAAGGTGAATCATCATATCGTTAATCATTAATTGCCATTAAAATACAATTAATGAAAATTGCAAACTATATTCTTTAAATAATGTTTCTGAATTCACCTTATACAATATAAATGAATAATAATATGGTCATACAAGAGAAGATGGGACTCCATTGTTTTCGTTAGTGTTTACAGCCGGGAGTCCGGGATGATAGTTCTATACGAGAAAATTAAGAAAATAAGACCCTGGTTGTAGCTGTAGTAAAATTAATGTAAAAAAATTAATATACAATCATCCCTTGGTTATCATGCCTAATTGGGACCGCACCGAGTGCGTGATAACGAAAAACACGATAATGAAAGTACAGAACCTATGGTATTTATTCTATTTGGTTCCAGGCACCCAAGACCCAACCCCAATTTTCCCATTTTACGACCATGTAGACCCACTGTAGATATACTGTAGATGTTATGATAAGTATCAGAAACACACATAGGCATGGCTAGGTTTATTACAAAGTGATGAAAAGGGTACACTCAATACTGTAGTCCACAAAACATGTAGCTATGCTTTTTTTATTTGAGTCCCCCGTCTGAGGAGTCCGTTTTCTCATTACTTCAGGACGCCTGAGTCCTCCGTTTTCTCTCAATCTTAGAGTGCACCCGAGACTTCGTTATTCCTTAGTAATGACACAGAATTTGAAATTGCAATTGGGGTTGCAATTGTTGAGGCAACTTAGATAGGTCTGATTACAGTTGGAACATTCAAGATCCATTGTGAGTGATGTTGAAAGCTTCAGCTGTCTTTATGGTTGGTAAAACTTGTCAAGTAAGTGAGTGTCAAGTCTGTCAGTATGAGTGGCATGTGTGAGTGCTTGTGTTTGTACAACCGCTTTTCAAGTTTTGTTACCTC